AAAAAAAAAAAAAAAAAAAAAAACTCAAAAAATTCCGAAAAACAATTATGTTATGCAGAGAAATAAAGTTTAATAAAATGAACAACTTTTGCCTTGGCCTTGCTAATGTTTCCTTCCCAGTGTGTGTGTGTGTGTGTGTGTGTGTGTGTGTGTGTGTGTGTGTGTGTGTCTGTGAGTGTGTGTGTGTGTGTGTGTGTGTGTGTGTGGGTGTCAGTGTGTGTGTGTGTGTAGACAGTGCATCTGTGTGTGTCTACATAGTGTGTGTATGTGTGTAGACAGTGCAGTGTGCGTGTGTGTGCGAGTAAATAGTGTGTGTGTATGACTGTGTGTATGTGTGCTCACGTGCGCGTCACTCGTTGTGTTTGTGCGTGGATAGAATGTGTGTGTGTGTGTGTGGATGTCATTGTCACTGCAGCTGTTGCATCTGCTGGAACGGATGGTCCACATTCTGCTTCAGACGAAACAACTGCAGTCGCTGCATGCGCAGCAGTTGCTGACTGCAGCAGCAGACCCTCCTGTGTGTGTGTGTGTGTGGATGTCGTTGACACTACAGCTGCTGCATTTGCCGGAGCGTATGGTCCACACGCTGTATCAGACGAAGCAGCTGCAGTCGCTGCATGTGCAGCAGCTCTAAACTGCAGCAGCAGGCCCTCCATTTCAACTCCCCAAGCAATCCACCCCCCCCAACACCAAACCATCACACCTGCCCAAGGATAAGTCGTGAGGCCTTTGCGGCACCCCTGTCTTTTAGGCAGTGGGTGACCATAAGCAAGAGGCGTAGGCCCATCTCAAGGGGAAAACCCTTTTGTACTAGACCAGAGTCTGGGATGTCCTGGACAAGGACCTCGAATTTCAGACTCAGGACCAACGTCCGACTAATAATTTAAAAAGCAAAACTCTTTTTGAGATGGGATTCGCCTGTCCCTCCCCTTAAGGAAGAAAATAAGAGTAGTCACGGGTTGGCGAGCAATTCGCCATACCCAGACTAAGTCTCAGTCCGAACAAAGGTCGAGCGCTAAACCTTGCACTCGTTTTCTCCTGGTTGCTCGCTCGATGCGTGTGGCAGGAGCAAAATGAGAAAAAGAAAAGGGCGAGTCTCGGGGGGAATCAGGGAGAACCATTCTCACAGCCATAGTTGAATCTTATCACTTCATTCATTCACCCATATCACCCTTAATTCAGGAGCGAGTCATCGCTCCCATACATACCTGCACAGACATGGAATCTAATGGAAATCCACACGCAGATGCCACAAAACGTGGTCAACTCCTTTGCTCCCAGGTTCATGTCCCACACGCCCCTTTTCGACCCCCACTCAACAAAGGCATATCCGCCCGTCCCGATTCACACAGCTTTTGCATGGCCATTCAAGAGAGGTTCCAAGGATAGGTTTTCTTTCATACGGAAATGCCTTTCGCCTACAGGGTCACATACATCTGGGCGTGGGTATCACAGTGGGTAGGAGTTGAGTCGCAAACCGACCTGCTATCAGTCCGATAACAGAAGTTGATGAAGCTCAAGACTTCGAAGAACACTCGCAGGTAACAATGACCTGCGTCACAAAATCAAGGCAGGCATCGTCTGTTGAATTAACGGAGTTCAACTCCGTATTGCACTTTAAGCTACTTAATAGTAGCATCCCGTAACGATGTGAAAATTCCAAAAATTTCGGCAGCACTTCCTTTAGGGAAGTGTGCTCGAAGAATATTTACTAAACCAAATCTAAAAATAAAAAGTCGCGACTATAAAAATCATCTGAAATTAAACTAACGCTTTGGTTTTAGTAAAAATTTGGGCAGCACTTCCTTTAGAAAGGAAGGCTTCCAGAATTTCTACTGTCCCCAAAGACTAAACTATACCATATCCTAGCTTACATCTCAAAACCTTGGTTATCTTTAAGGATTTAGCAGAAATTTTGGCAGCATTTCCCCTAGGAAAAGAGCCTCCCAGAATTTTTATTAATTCAAAGGCTAGCCAAAGTCCAATCAAAACAAACATACATGAAAAAGACAAATGTGAACACAAAAGTGAACATGTACCTGGCCATCGTTCAAGTATAAGGCGAGCACTAACAGACTACCCTATAATGTAGAAGACAAACAAAGCATTGAGCAAAAGACAAGGCATTGCCAACAAGTATGTCAAGTCGATAGCACATTCAACCAATTCAAAACAAGGATTTGTTTATCCAAAGACTTTATCTTTCGTTTGTCCTGATCA